AAAGAAATTGGGGGCTGGCATTGTAGCTTGTAGGTTAAGCTGCCTCCTAAGATGCCAATATCACATATGTGTGCTGGTTCAAGTCCCAGCCACTCCACTTCTGATCCAGCTCTCTGCTCATGTGCCTAGGAAAGCAGCAATAGATGACTCCTGCCCCATGTGGGAGACCCAGATGGAATTCTAAGCTCCTGGCTTCAGCCTGGCTCAGCTCCAGCTATTACAGAGTCACCTGGGAAGTAAAGCAGCAAATGAAAGCTCAATATCGCTCTTTCTTTGCCATTTTGCTTTCCTAAATAACAATTTTTTTAAAATCTTTAAAAACGTCACATGATGTCAAGAATATATTCAATAATATACTCAAATAAAGTAAGCATTTCTTGGCCTGACACGGTAGCCTTGAGGCTAGGGTCCTTGCCTTGCATGCACCAGGATCCCATATGGGTACTGGCCCTAATCTCAGCAGCCCCATTTCCCATCCAGTTCCCTGCTTGTGGCCTGGGAAATCAGTTGAAGATGACCTAAAGCCTTGGGACCCTGCACCCACGGAGGAGACCCAGAAGAAACTCCTGTCTCCTGGTTTTGGATTGTCTCAGCTCCAGCCATTGAAGCTTCTTGCGGAATGAACCAGTAGATGGAAGATCCTCCTCTCTGTCTTTGCTCCTCTCTGTATATCTGCCTTTCCAACATAAATAAATAAATCTTTTTTTTTTTTAAGCAAACATTTCCCTCAAGGCTTCTCACCAGATAGAAGCCCCCAACCTCACATCAGAAGTGTGGGGTATGTCCTCCTACATGTTTCTTTCTTTTTAAAAAAGATTTGTTTTTATTTGAAAGGCAGATTTTACAAAGAGAGAAAGAAAAATAGAGAGAGAAGGTCTTCCATCCACTGGCTCACTCCCCAAATGGTCAGAATGATCAGAGCCAAGCTGATCTGAAGGTGGAATCTGGGAGCTTCTTCTGGGTCTCTCAGGGGTTCAGGGTTTCAGGATCTTGGGCAATCCTTTGCTGTTTTCCCAGGCCACAAGCAGAGAACCAGAACAGAAATGTAGTTGTTAGGACCTGAAACGGTGCCCATATGGGATGCTAGCACCACAGGGTGGAAGAGTAGCCAGCTGTGTGCTGGCTCCAATAATCCTCCACTTCTCTTCACAAACTGAAGCCCGTCCTTTCCATACTGTCCTGTGACTTGCTGTGTAACAGCTGAGCTGCTGGCATCCTCCTCTGCAGCCCTACTACTCCACCCTGCCTCACTCACTCCACTCTTCATTGGACTGACACCGGCCCCACTATGCGCCAGGTGCTGTTCCTGGTACCTTGGATGGAACAGAGGACAAAACCCAGTGATGCTTTCTAAGCCTCCCTCTCTCCACTGCTGTCTTCGGGCAGCTCCCAGCCCTTCCTGTAACACTGACAGGGCAGGAATCATCTTGCCCCTGCAGTTTGTGCACATGCAAGTGCCTTTTCAGAAAGATATATTTATTAATTTGCAAGGGAGTGAACGAGAGTGGGAGGGAGAGAGAGTGGGAGAGGGAGATTTTCCATCTACTGGTTCACTCTCCAAATGCTTTAACAGCCAGGGCTGGGCCAAGCAGAAGCCAGGAGGCAGGAATGCAGTCTGGATCTCCCACATGGATGCATGTGCTTAGGTCCTTGGGTGATCTTCTGCTGACTTTCTAGGTGCATTTTCAGGGAGCTGGAGAGGAAGCAGAGCAATGGAACTCAAACCAGGCGCTTTGCTCCAAGAACGGATGTCAGTATCAGTGATGTTGCAAGCAGTGGCTTAACCTGTGGCCCCTGGAGGCTGTAGCCACACGAAATTCCTTCACTGCCCTCTGCCCTCACCCCATACCAGCTCTGCTGCTTAGGCTAACTTTTCTTTCCTCCCAGCTTTCACCTCCCCATGGCCTTCAATCCCATTCACAACACTGGGACTAGTCAAGGTGTTTTTTTTTTTTTTTTTTTTTTTTTTTAGCTTTTGACCACAACTTTATGCAATCATGACCATTGTCCAGCCTGTTCAGCCAGCATTCCGTTTCTGCAAGATATCCCTTTGCTCTCTTCACGACTAGGTCCAGGGCAGGCCCGAGTCGTCCTGCGAGGTTGGCTGACTCAGCCTTCTTCCCTCTCTGCTTCTATTCTCAGCCCTCCCCCCACCTCCAGCAAGGAAAATCCTGTTTTGGATCTTGTCGCTTCCCTGCTGACACCCTTCAGCAGCATCCCTTTGGACTTAGAATAAGATCCAAGCTCCTCCCAGGAACCCCAACCCAATCATACGTATCCCTCATATTTGCTGGCGTTTCCTTCTCCAGATCGTTGGTCTGAGAGAAAATGCTTGGTATTCACTTCCTCCTCCGTGTGGTCAGGCCTCAGGGAGGTAGGAAAGGCCATGTTTGGGAAGTGAGGGGCTGGAGAAGTGTGGAAGTGCCAGCCTGGAGCTCCCCAGGTTTCACCAGGCCTAAAGCCTTTTGTAGGCACTGCCTCTTGAAGTCCTTTCAACATCCTGGAAAAGTTGGTATTGTTACTTCCAAAACTACCTGCAAGTTTGGTGCACAAGTGATCAAGAAGGTGTCAGTCAAACCTCAGGCTCAACTCCCTTAGGTTCCAGGGCAGGTGGTCCTAGCTACACCTTACTGAATCCCTTCCCTGCTCAGGGACCACTCCCCTGTCCCCCCAGCCCAAGCTCTGACCAAGTCTCAGTGTACTGAACCCTGGCCACAGTGCCAATCCACAAGAGGGCTGAGATTCTAACCCAGACTCGGCCCAGCCCACTTCTAGCATCCTGTCCTAGCACCATGATCTCGCCCTGTCCCAGGTGCCATCTGGGAAATGAGACATGGGCAAACTTCCTGGGCTTCCAGCCCTGAGGCTGCTGAGACGGGAAAAACACCCCACCTGAGCTAAGCCTGGCAGCAAGGCCCACCCTACTTCCTGTTGGAGTGCTCTGAGGTTACTGTGGGTCACCGACAAGCCTGAGGATGTGCTTAACCAGCTCTTTGCTTTGGCATCCCCTCCTGGGATCAGGTAGCTAGCTGGCTGTTCCCTGAGTGCAGGCTGGGCAGCTTGGCATCTGGGCTCCAGGGTCAAGTCCCTGATGAAGTAACTGCAACCCTTTAGCCCTTGTCTTTTGTGTCTGTACCATGCGACACACAGTAGTATGTGCTCAGGGTTGCCTTTGTCCAATCGGGCTTTTTCTTTTTAAACACACAACACACTGTTAAGCAGCTGGAAAACAGGAGGAGCCAGATTTAAACACCAACCCTCTCCCGCCATGTCCAGCCAAGTCAGCCTCTCCTGCTGAGCCCATTTTTTGCCTGGACCCAAACCCACCTGTTTCCCATTTCCTTCCCTCCCTGTTACGTGAAGCCAGAGCTTTTGAACAAGAACAAGCAATCTGATCCGACCTGTTGGTAGCTCTGAAAGTTGGCGCCCCCTCCCTACTACTCCATCTACAAGACCAGGCAAGATCCAGCTGCTACAGGCCTTTCCAGTCTCTAATTGCCACGAGGCAGGCAGATTGCAACTAGAGGAAACTGCACTGGTGGTGGTGGTGTGGGATCGGGGTTCCCAGGCCTCTGGCACCCCTTCTGCCTGGACCCCGCTGGTCCTGGGGTCCTGCTTGCTGTGGCTGGGATCATTTCTGAGTCCTGCCCGCCATCCCCACCACCCACCGCATTGCACATGGCCTGAGTCCCCTTGTAGCACCCAGCAGCTGCACAAGGCAAAGCCCACCGGCCTTCCTGGGGATCTCCAGGAGGACTCAAGAGTGCTTGTCCCAAATATTTGGGGACGCAGAGGGCCTGGGAGGTGTGAGGCGCGTTAAGGTGGTCTCCGCCCCTGGCGCCCTCACTCTAAGTGAGCGAGACCGGCTGTAAGGAAACCCTCCTGAAAGACTGAGCCTGGAAAGACCCAAGTTGGCTCAGTTACAAGGCTGTGCGTCGGGCCACCCCCAAACGCCCCCTCAGCGACATTCCTGCCCGCAGCTGAGAGACCCGCGGGCTGTCAGGCCACCTCGCTGGGCACCACCGCTCTGAGGAATGGACTCTGCCCTTCGAGCGGGACCCCGGGAAGGCCGTCCCAGCCCTCGCTCCCACACCATTTCTCTTGGTCATTGTTTCTTTTTCTCTCAGCTCGTGCTCTCCTCCCGGGGCCCGCCAAGCCCGGCTTCCCCGCCCCGGGACCTCCCACAGGTTTCCCCCTCCTCGGCCCCCTCACGAAGCCCCGCCCAGCCCTAGGTGGTGGGCGGGCTCGGCCGCGAGACTCACCAATCCGAGCGCCCCGCGCCGCCTCGGCCTCCAGGAGGCGGTCCCGCCCCCACGTCGCCGACCGCCAATCGGGCTCCGCGGTCAGGCCACCCAATCGCGGGCGGGCTTGTGGCCGCCGGCGCCCCGCCCCCTGCCGCGCTCGGCGGCGGCGGCGGCTGGGCGGCTGGGCGGCTGGGCGGCTGGGCGGGCGGCCGCGCTGGGCCTCGGGCATTCTCCCAGCCGCTCGGCGCAGCGTGCGGTTCGGGCGGCCGCCTCGGGGGCCGGGGGCAGGTGGGGCGCAGGCAGCGGCGTTGCTGCTCGCGGGGGGAGGCCTGCTGAGCGGAGGCGGGCGCCACCGGCTGGGCCGGAGGGCGCGGGAGCTCCGCCGGGGCCCGCAGTGCGGGTCCCAGGACCGAGGAGGAGGAGGAGGCGGCGCCCCCCCGGCTGCCCCGCTGCCTGCTCGGAGGCGATCCGCAGCCGGACGTCCGCGGCCCGCAGCGTCCCCGACGGGCCGTCCCCCATCCCCCGCCCAGGAGGTGCCCGCACCCTTCCCCAAGCTCAGCCTCACCTGCGCAGGCCGCGGGGCACCCAGGTGCGGGGGCGTGTGCGCAGCCGGGGCGCCACCCCCGGCCGCCAGCGAGGCGGGGGCGGGGCCGCCGCGGCCCTCACCGGTCCTCCGGCTAGCCCGCAGTCTCACCGGTTCGCCCGCTGCGCCGGTCCGCGCGGCGTGAGCTCCCCGGGGACCGCGGCTCGGGATGCTGCTGCCCGCCCGCGCGGCCGCTGGCTCGCCGCCCGCCTCGCCCGCCCTCACCTCCGGGGCCGTGCCCCCGCTGTTTACATGCCGGTGAAGCCCCCGGCCGCGTCGAGCCCCGCCGAGCGCCGGCGCCCCGAGGGTGAAAGCAGCCGACCCAGCGACTGGACTGGTTGCTCCGACCTGGGGCTCCGGACTCAATCTCCGCCCGCTCCACCGCCGCCTCCGCCAGCATCTGGGCGGGCTCCGGCGCTGGTCTTTTGAGGAGGGCTTGTGGAGTAAGGAAGGGAATCCTGGGGATTTTTAGGGTCCCCTCTGGTTTGGCCTTCGGGGCACTTCAGTCTCAGGGAACTCGCTCATGGCTTTCTTGATGAAGAAGAAAAAATTCAAATTCCAAACCACTTTCACCCTGGAGGAGTTGACCGCCGTCCCCTTCGTGAATGGGGTTCTTTTCTGCAAGATCCGGCTGCTGGATGGCGGGGATTTTGTCAGCTTGTCGTCAAGGTAGGAACTGGGGCTGTGGTACCTGCATGTGGGAGTTGGGGATGAGGGGATGCAGAGGGCGGTGAGTGAGATCTGGACACTTGTGGAAGCGCCCCTGGGGGGTGGGCAGGCGGGAGAGGGGGTAGAGGTGGGCATTAGGTGTGTTTGGGGCAGGTTTGCACAGGACAAGACTGGGCCTGAGCAGGCTGGCGGGGTGCCAGGCACTGGGCTGCAGGTGACGTGCAGGTGGCTCTCTGGTGGGGGGTTCTTGCAGCCCCCTCCTGAGACTTTTGCAGCTGGCACCCCCTGAGACCTGGAGCCCAGTGGGATTTGTACCTCAGGAGGGGCTCAGGGAGGAACAACCCCGGCCACCATGCAGTCCTGCTGGCATCTTGGGCATAGGCCAGCCATAGGTTCCCAGCACTTTGCAGGTCCCTCTGGGCACTGGCTCCCTGGCCAGGTTGGCTGGAGGTGGCTGTAGTTTGGACCTTCCAGTTCCCTTGCCGGTCTTGGGGCTGGAGCGAGACTGCTTTGCATTGCAAATGCCCTTCGGCACATCTTGAGGCTGCTGCCCTCTCTGCAGGAGGCCTGGCAAAGTTGGGTTTGGTGTTCATGTCCATCCTGACAGGTTCAGCTGCCCAGCTTACAGCAGAAGGCAGCTGATCCCCAGGCTGTCCCCTCACAGCCTGGGCCCACTGGGGCTCCACAGGGGTCCAGAGAGAATGGAGTGCAGCAGATGGATGGGTCCCCATCATGGCCCTGCCCCTTCCTAGTTCTGGGCAGTGGGCCTGTTGCAGCTGTGACCAGCAGAAAGCTGAGAAGTTTTGGCAGCCAGCACACAGTGCAGGGTCTCTGGCCTGGGGGTCTCTACGGTGCTTCCTGACCTGAGGGTCACTGTTGGCTCCTCAGGCTTCCAGCCTGCCCTCCTTAGCTAGAGCCGCCACGATCGTGCCAGGTGGCAGGTGGGGAAACTGAGGCTGCAAGAGAGAAAGTGGCTTGCTGGGGACTTGGCTGCAGATGGTCATCCTCTGAGCTGGGCAGATGCGGTGGCTGAATGCAGAGGCTAAGTGTGGAAGGGAGAGAAGTCAGGCCTCTCTGTTACAGCCAGGAACAGCACTGGCCCTAGTCCGTGCTTATCTGAGGAATTTGCACTGGGTCTGCCCTCGGCGGTGGGAGGAAGGGAGGGTGGCCTGGGACCACCTTCGCGGGACAGGACGCTGTGCTCTGAGCCCTGGCTGGCCTTGGATGAGCTACCTAACCTCTACATTCCCAAGCAGGGGAGGAGGTGCAGGTGTGATTGTTAGTCCCATTTCACAGAGGCACACCCTGAGACTCTGATAGGGCTGGCTACCCAAGAGTCCAACTCAGGAAGTGCTTTCAGCTGTGCCTCTGTGTGCCTCTCCTGTGAAATGGGCTGGCCGCAACTATCCCCAGGCTCCAAGGGGAATGGGTTACCGCGGGCAGAGGGGTCCAGATCCCCAGCTCTTCCCAGGTCTTGGGAGAGTTAGCAAGGGGTCTCTGGGTGGACCAGGAATGGGGATAGAGTCCTGAACCCCACCAGGGACTTGATGGCTGAGATCCTGCCCCTCCTGGCAGGTTGCTGAGCCTCTGCCACCTGTCAGTCTTTCCATTGCCCCGCCCTCTCATCTGGCAGAGTCTGGAATGTTCTGGATCTTAGTGCCCCAGGTCTGGATCTCACCTCTGTTTTCCCATCTTCCCTCCTGGCAAGGAGCCTTGAATTCCTGAAATCCTCTGAGGCCAGACAGCTTTCCCTGAATGCAGCCTGAAGGGCTGAGGACGGGGAGAAACTGGCATTGGCTGCCTTGAGGCTGAGCCATTAGTGGGCATTGGGCACCTGCTGGCTAGAGAGAAAAGACAGTGGAACCAGACTGGCGGGGGTGCTTCGGCTTTCATTCCAAGATGGGGATTCTGGATTCCTACGCCTATCCCGGTCTGTGGCCTGTAGTCCTCAGACCCCTTCACTCCAGACAGGCAGCCCAGGCCGCATTGTTTGCACGTTGGGGTAGGGTCTGGGTTGTCTGGACCTGATTGGATCTTGGACCTGGATCTAGTTCAGCAGCCTGTTCCCCCACAGCCCGCAGAAATCCCTCAGGTGGCCCCCAAGACCTGGTGAGCGCAGCCTGGGCTGTGTCAGTGAGGCGGGCCTAGCTCCACTGCTGTGTAGCTCCCGCCCTCTTAGCTCAAGTGTTTCCCTGGGTGTTGGGTGCCATGGCAACAGCTCGGTACACAGCTCTGCCTGACCCAGTTTGAGCAGGTAGAACAGGTGGCTCGTCTGACTGCTCCTAGGCCTTATCTATCGGAGGCCACCTGACAGACGGTCACCCTCACGGTCATCATCTCCAGCACCCATGCTGTGTGCCAGGCCTCATGTCTCGCAGATGGCATGTCTGTTAATCCTTTCGACCAGCCAGAGGCCAGGAGGTGATGCTGCACACCAGAGGTCACCTGGGTGGTGACCGCCAAAAGGGACACTGCTGTTGTGGTGGTGGCTCAAAGCCCCAGTGGGTGCTGACCTGTGTGCATGTCAGCTCAGCCCCTGCAGCCTCTTGCTGAGCTGAGAGCGTGCGCCCCTGCAGATAGGGACAGATTGGGCTGTGTCCCTCACTGGGGTGTGGCACAACTGTGATTTGACTGTGGGCAGCCCCAGCTCGATAGCCCTGTCTGGTCTGGGAGACAGTGGGCTAGAAGCAGACCACAAGGGGTGTGTGTGTATTTGTGTAGGGGAGGGGAGGCAAAGGCCCTGTCGTGGATTGGGAACCGGGCACAGGCTGGCACTGGAGCACACTGGGCGTTTGCCAAGGTCTCTATCCCAGAGGTCTCCCTGGCAGACACATGCAAATAGCATCTGGGTCCCAGGAGGTTGTGGAGGTCCTAGCCAAGTCTGGAGAGTTCAGAAACAGTGAGCCAGGCACAGGCTTCCAGCCCTGAGCCAACTTGTCCGAGGTGACCCACAGGCACCAAGAATCCCAAACATCCCTGGAGGGCCTTGCTCCCAGCTGGCACTGGTCCTGTGGACTGCACCGTGCACGTGGCTGGCAGTGCCAGGGTCAAGGAGCACAGGGGAGGCACAGACTTACGTCACAGCAGGTCCTTGCTGAGAGAGAAAAGCCGGGTGCTTCTCTGGCCAGTAGATGGGGAAATGGAGGCCCTAAGCAGAGATTTGCTAGGGCTGCTCCACAGGAAGAGCTAGTGACACAACTGGGCACACTCTAGTCCTGCCTCACCCTCGTGGCCCCTGGCCTTGGTACTGTTATTTGCGCAGAGCTGGCAGGCTGGCACCATAGAGCTGTCCTTAGCCCCAGGTCACTTGAGGAGCAGGCCGACTTGGAGAGGAGGTTGCCTGTACTGTCTTCCTTGACAGCTTTTGTTTTTAGGTTAACTTCTTTATTGGAAAGGCAGAGTGCTAGAGAGAGACAGAGACCTCCCATCCACTGGGTAGTTTCCTTGACTTGCTGCAGCAGGCTAGGTTTGGGCCTGAACCAGAAAACTCCAGTTGGGTCTCTTTCGTGAGTGGCAGGGTTTCTGACACAGCAGTCACCATACACTTCTTTCCCAGGTGTATTATCAGGGAGATGGACCAATCTGGTACCCCAGTGTGGGATGCCATTATCACAGGTGGCAGCTTAACGCATTGGGCCACCACACTGGCCCTAACTTAGGATCCTCAGTTGGTTCTCTGTGTGTGTGTGTGTGTGTGTGTGTGTGTGTGTGTGTGTGTGTGTGTTTTAATTGGAAAGATAGATTTAAAGAGAGGAGAGACAGAGAAAGATCTTCCATCTGCTGCCTCACTTTCCCAGAGGGCCACAATGGCTGGAGCTGAGCCAATCAGAGGCCAGGAACCTCTTCTGAGTATCCCACATGGGTGCAGGGTTCCAAGGGCCACCCTTCACTGCTTTCCCAGGCCACAAGCAGGGAGCTGGATAGGAAGTGGAACAGCCAGGACACAAACCAGCATCCATATAGGATGCAGGCACTTGAAGTGAAGGATTAGCTTATTGAGCCACAGCACTGGCCCTACTTAGTGGTAGTTTTTAATCTGGGCAGCTCTGTTGGAGGAGAGTCACTCATGACATAGGCTCTTTCATGCACGCAGCCTGGTGCCGATCTAGAATGGAGGCCAGGGAGGGATATTTGGGATTCTTTGAGCAGGAAGGAGGCCTGGGATGGGTCAGTTCTGCAGCTGGAGGCCCTGTGCCCAGACCCGCTCCCTGGGGAGGCAGGCCAGCTTGGGTCTTCCCTTGCAGCACACCCTGCGTGCTTGGCTGATGCTCCGCTCCCAGGCCTGGCCCCACCTCCTTGGAAAAGGCTGTGGAATGCCACTTGAATCCACAGTCCCATGAAGCCTGCTTGCCGCCAGCTCCTCTTGGTGTGGTGGGGAGGGAAAGCAGATGGGGCTGAACATGTGGTTGTGTTTTTCAGGGCTGTGGGGAGCAAGGAAGGTGTGGAGGTACAGGGGGACCCCCAACATGAATAGGACATCCACTATGTCTTCCACTCTGGGTACCTAGAGCACCAGGGAGGGAGGAGGTGGCTGGTTAGGCCCATGTCCCTGTTCTGCTGCTATATGGCACCCTAGACCTGCAGAGGTGGGTGGGAAAAGATCGTCCACTCCCAGGGATCTCCCAGTGTGGGCACTGTGTGCTGGTGGGCATCCTAGATGCTGCAGAGCCACAGATGCCTGCCCAGGCTGGGCAGCACTGCCTTGTGGGGGGCTCCCGTCTCACGACAGGGACAGCTTCCCTGAGGGAGTGAAGCCTTGAAGGCTCGGAGCCTTGCTCTAGGAGGTTGGAGAGAACCTTTAGCATTGAGGCCCCTGGTCTATGCGCGGGGTCAGAGCGTGAGGCAGGCTGGGAAGTGGCATAGACTGTGAGGTTTCCTCACCAGGACTGTGTGCTTTGGTGCCTGCACAGTGAGCAGCAGCTGAGGTGGGCTGGGTGGGCAGCACAGAGGGAGAGGATCCAGCATGCTGGGGAGGGGGGTCAGCAGACCGAGTGGGCAGG